AGTTCTCTTCGTGGTAGTCGATCGCTTCTCTAAATACGCCCACTTCATTCCTCTATCACACCCGTACAGTGCCACTTCAGTTGCCCTCGCCTTCTTTACACATGTTTTTCGCTTACATGGGTTACCAGAATCCATCGTCAGCGATAGAGACCCGGTCTTCACTAGTGCCTTTTGGAAAGAGTTATTTCGGCTACATGGCACCACCCTGGCCTACTCATCAGCTTACCGACCACAATCCGACGGTCAGACGGAAGTGGTCAACCGCACAATCGAGATGTATCTCTGATGTTTCGTAGGCGATCAACCACGATGGTGGGTGGATTGGCTCCCTTGGGCCGAGTACTGCTACAACACAGCCTACCATTCTTCCCTCGGCATGACTCCCTTTCGCGTCGTTTATGGCCGAGATCCTCCCCGCTTGCTGTACTACGAGCCCGGTTCTACTCGTTTGGAAGCAATTGATCACTCCTTACAAGAACGCGACACCCTCCTAGCCGATGTCCGCCTCCGCTTACAGCAGGCCCAGCTCCGCATGAAACTCCACTATGACAAGCACTACCGGGAACTGTCGTTCGATCCAAGCCAATTTGTTTGGTTGAAACTCCAGCCCTATCGGCAACGCTCCTTGCGCCACAGGGCTGCCCCGAAGCTGGCCCCTAAGTTCTATGGGCCCTACAAGGTTCTATGACGGATTGGCAGTGTGGCCTACCAGCTGGAATTGCCAGAGACTAGCCGAATTCATGATGTCTTCCACATCTCCTTGCTGAAGCCATTTACGGGTGTTCCCCCCGACCGAGTTCCCTCACTGCCACCCTTGAAAGATGGCAAGCTGGTTCCCCAACCCAAAACTGTCACCCGCTCTCGTTTCAATTGTGGAATCCTTGAAGTCTTGGTGGAATGGTGTGATTTACCATCGGCCGAAGCCACATGAATCCCATTGGCAGAGTTCCATGCCACATATCTAGAGTTCGAGCTTGAGGACAAGCTCGTAGTCCAGGAGGGGAGTAATTTTATGGACGCATTCCTCGGGAAGACGTACCATCGCCGCCGGCAGCAACAGGCACCTGACCCACCGCCAGCAGCAGCAGTGATTCAATGATTCTCATCCTACCCAGTTCAGCAACAACAGCCTTATCTAGATTAGATTAG